GGAGAGGTTAGAGGGGTTTGGATACAAAATGGTTGGCTGTAGGGCATGCTGAAACGCCACAGCAGTTGCTGAAATGTCACAGCGGTGACTTTTGGCCCCTTCTGTGCGTGCTTACCACTCTTTCCAGAGACCGGCAAGGCTTTGAGAAGATAGAGGACATGGAAAACCAGCCTTCTGAGACAAGCCAAAAGGATCTGGGGAAAGTCAAAAGGTGCTTGTGCCCCAAAGGCTCCTACCAGGGGCTTGTGGGTTTTTTTTAAATGCTCCTTTGCCCCTTAGGACCCCCTCCTAGTCTCAGGGAGAGGGGGCCTGCAAGTCTGCAGAAGACCTGCTCGCAATTACCACAAAGCCAAAGCAGAAACCCAAAACACAAGAAACCCAGCCTGCACCCTGATATGAGGTGATGATGAGGAGGATGGGCTTGAGGATGGCTGTGTGCTGCCATTTTATTCAGATTTTGCTTGTTTGTTTGCTTGTTTGCTTGTTTGCTTATTTATTTATTTATTTATTTATTTATTTATTTATTTATTTATTTATTTATTTATTTATTTATTGAAAAAACTTTTATTTATTTTTCAAAATCTACCAATACTATTACATTTTAAATATTTCAAGGACTTAGATCATCTGACAGCAATTTTTGTATGGAAGACTAAGAAACCAAGAATAAAACCTAGGCTATTAAAGGACCTGAAAGAAAGGGGGGGGGGGGTCAGGACTACCGAACTGGCTATTATACTATAAAGCTATGCCTAGTGTGGCAAAAATTTCAAGCACAAACCTATATGAAAATCCCAACATGAATAGCGCTTATAGAAGCAATTACTTTGAAAGTGCTGAATCAGAAAGGAGTGTTACTAACATATAAGAACAAAACATAAAAAATAAGCAAGAGCTATAGCTGGAATTAAGATTGACGGAAGAAAGATCAACAACCTCCAATATGCAGATGATATTACTCTGATGGCAGAAAGTGAGGAAGAATTAAAGAACCTCTTAATGAGGGTGAAATAGGAGAGTGTAAAAATGGTCTGAAGCTCAACGTCAAAAAAATCAAGATCATGTGGCCACTGGTCCCATCACCTCCTGGCAAATAGAAGGGGGAGATATGGAGGCAGTGACAGATTTTACCTTCTTGGGCTCCATGATCACTGCAGATGGTGATAGCAGCCACAAAATTAAAAGATCCCTGATTCTTGGGAGGAAAGCAATGACAAACCTAGACAGCATCTTAAAAAGCAGAGACATCACCTTGCCAACAAAAGTCTGCATAGTCACAGCTAAGGTTTTTCCTGTAGTGATGTAAGGAAGTGAGAGCTGGACCATAAAAAAAGCTGGCCACCGAAAAATTGATGCTTTTGAATTGTGGTGCTGGAGGAGACTCTTGAGAGTCCCCTGAACTGCAAAGAGATCAAACCTATCCATTTTGAAGGAAATCAACCCTGAGTGCTCAGTGGAAGGACAGATCCTGAAGTGGAGGCTCCAATATTTTGGCCATCTCATGAGAAGAGAAGACTCCCTGGATTTTACCGATAGGAAAAAAACAGACCGGACTGCAAGATATCTGTGACGATTCTCAGTCCAGATGAAGTTATCTGGAAGTTGAGTCATGTTAACTGGACTTTTCTTATTAGGTTGAAACATATTGCTACTAATTCAGTTTCTTCAGTCTGAGGAGAGTTGATAGAAGACCCCTCCACATTGTTTTCACTTCTCCTTCATCTGAATAGTTAGATGGACAAAGGATGGGGGCGGGGTGACTGAAAATCCCTCTTCTGCAGTCCTTCTCCACAAATTTCTCCATCTAAGAAAAATGTCCTGGCGACATGTTGCCCTTCCATCCATCCCCAGAATGATCAGGACCAAACCCACCAGAAAGACCACTGTTATTGACTGTTAAAAACCCATGGCAATGGGTGGAGAAGGACCGCAAAAAGAAGGACTCACTCCCCATCCTTTGTAATCTAACAAGCCTGTTCAGACTAGGAGGAAGTGAAACCAAGATAGTGGATATATCAGGGATCTCCTGTCAACTCTCTACAGACTGAAGAAGCTACTTGGATGAGTAGCGAAACATTTCAGCCTAATAAAGAAGAAATCCAGTTGCCATGACTCAATTTACAGATTACCAGACTGCAAGGTTTCCCTGCAGACTGACACCAGTCAGTGGCAAACATTTCTCTCTCTGATGGCCCTTTTTAAAAACTTAAGCTATATTCCTCTTGTTCTGATCCCCATGATCCTTGAATCCATTACTTGACAAACCCCACAGACACAATTTACACTGATAGAGGCATTCACGCATTCCGATTCAAAATGACTCAGTTTCACAGGTGATTTAGAATAAATTACGTTCTTGTGGCTTAGTAAAATACCTCCCTTTCCAACCAAAAAGAAGCACATTTCTTGGGCAAAAGAATTCCACACTTCCCTGTGTGTCGTGTTATCAGAATTTTAAAAATAGATTTCAAACATGCTAACCCCAATTTAAAAATATTTTTCTATGCGTAACCACACCCTTAGTAGGCTACAACAGCTGCTGATTTTAGCTTCCCTTTCCATTGGCCACTTTGTCCTGTGAGGTCCCAGTCAGTGCCAGATGTCACTGGTATTTTCTAGGCTGTCCATGACCTTAAAAAGTCATGGGGTGATATTTCGTCTCATCTCATATTGTGACTATAGCTTTTGTTCTTTAGTACTCTAGGAGAGGGCAGGAGTGAAGCCAAATGCAAGAGATGGGGAAACATTATTTCCTTATGCTGGCCCCAAAACAGTACACTCAGTCACCTCCAGCACTGGAAGAACTTGTTCAAGGATGGCTGTGTTTGTTTATAAAAGGAGTACTCTGGATTCAGTAAATACCGACAAAATGCACCATGTTCCTATATTAGAACTCACTGATAACAATGAGTGAATCTGAAGTAAGCTTTCATTAGCCTGAGTGGTTAAGAAAATGCAATGATGGCATATTTGATTTGGATTGTCTGTCTTTTTCAGAACTGAATATGGAAAGAGAAACTGCATAGCTCAGAATCTAGGCTTTACTAGCATTCTAAAATATTGACATTTGTTCATTTTTAAGCAAAATCTTTAAAAACGTCTACATTTTTTTACATCAGTATTTGTAATGTATTTTTTAAAAATTATTGAATCATAAAATGCAATAAACCCATTCCACCTAGAATGACCGATCCCAAATTGTGAGATCAACATATTTTTTGTACCTGTTTACTTATATAACATATTACGCTATTTTTGAAACATGAAGAGCTGGGACTTAATGATACAAAGAGCTGAATTTTCAAATTGAAAAAAACACAATGAAAGAAATATGTGTTATGGTCACTGAAAAGATATGGGAAATTTACCATAAAAAGACTTCAAAATGCTAGTTTATGAGGTGATTCCAAGCAGTTTTGGCCCAAGGTCTCTAAATAAGTTTTATGGCTTTCTGGGGATTAGAATCTGGATCTCCAAACTCCCGCAACCCAACACACCATGTCAACCACATTTTGATTTACATTCAGTCAATATATTTCAGAATTACATCTATAATAGATCTCCATTTCTCTATTCATAACCATGTTTCATATGCTTTAATACATTTGTGGTGGTGTCTTCTTTTTTATATTGTAAATTCATCAAACTTTAATCTCTTCATATGAAGCACATCTCAGTGAACATTCTTATATTTGTAGAATTGAATTTCAGTGACTTAGGATGTTTGGTTGAATGTACTGTACATTGAACCAAAATGTGTTTTTTGTAATATAGAGATGAAAATTGATTGATTATTTTCTTACCATCTTTCTTTTTTTCCTTTCTTTTGATTTATATTTCAGATATTTCTGGAAGTCCATAGATTTTATACACAGAGAGAAATGTTGGTAACACCTATTCTTATCTTTTTCTTTTCTTCTCTTCTTTTCTTTCTCTCTCTCTTCTCTTTCTTTTTACAAGTGGAAGGTGGGTGCAACTTTTTACTGAACCAAATCCTTGAGATACTACATGAACTGGCTTGCCAGCATTGCAGATAGTAGGCTTTTATTATGTAGTTCATGGCTGATCCTAGGCAACAAATTTCTCTCCCTGCAACCTGTGTCTAACACCAATATAAATATGTCACTGGAAAAAGATTAATGCAAACTTCTCAGATTAAGTTGAATACTAATTAGATTGCCCACTTCCATCAGCAAATGCTCCAACTCAATTAACAGCTTAATTTACAGTAATATGTTAGTGCCAACATTAGTGGTGTCAACTGGCAAGGACAAACATTCTTGAAGAGACTTCACTGGTATTTATTGGGAA